AGCACAAATGTGCATACTTAGTTACATATTTATAAAGAGCCTGCATCTAATTATTTATAAGCCCTAGTAATTAGAATTGACACACGCGACTCAACTGTGCATTCGTAATTTATTGCTAACACAAAAAAAAAAAAGAAATTAAAATTATTTTACGAGTATATTTGCAAAGCTATTTAGAGACCACAGCATATGCAAATTGCAAACATAAATAGTTTTATAAGTACACATATACAACCTGTGTCATAATTATAAGCGCACCACAAATTTACAGGTTTTATGAATTCACTTTTTTGTGATTTAATTTTAATTATTTTTTATGAAAATATAGTTCATGCTTTGACAAAAACCCTACGTAAATCCAAGAGCAATTTTGTATGCCCATATTTAGTCCGGTAAGTCCCAGCTACTTCAAACTTGAATTTTAATATACTAAAATTGAATAATTAAAAAACTTTAGATTTTTACCAAAGTTTGTCTCTTTTTTTAAATATTGCACAAAGTTCTAAACTGGGAAGTACACAGTTTTTGTTAAATAATAAACTATATTTTTATGAAAAAATTCTTTAAATTAAATAACAAAAAAAATTACATCTAATTCGTCAATTTGTGGTGCGCTTATAATTTTGACACGGGGTGTATAATTATATATATATATGTATTTGTGAGGTTTTATAAAATACTAGAACAAATTTCATAAAATCAGTGGCAGTCGCTTATTGTAAAGTATTTGATATTCACATAGCTGCACCAACTTTTAAAGAACAAATTATGTTAATTCTTTTGTTCTCCAAATGTAAATAAAATTATAGTTTAAAAAAACTAAAACCTCGCTATTTTTTTAATTTCCATTCGTACTGTCATCAGGTATGTAACTTGAAGATAGAAAGCGCTGCATCTTTTAGGCGCATCAATATTACATAGTTACATCCCGAGCTAATAAAAGGGAGGTAATAATAAAAAGAGGCTCTCTTAATAACGTGGAAGTGACAGTTCTGCGATATTTAAAGAAAAGTGATTTGAAGGTAGACGCTTTGACATGCGAAACAATGCTAATATGAAGAAAAATTGCTAAAATATAAATTTTTTAATTGTTAAAAATAGTAGTTTTATGTTCACTATTTAGTAGCTACAAATTTTATTTATTTTTTTTTTTGAACTTTAAAACGGACTTTGTTTTTTGTTATTTTATGGCCTTATAACAATTATATTCAACAATTTTTATTGAGCTTGAGGCCATTTTTTAATGAAAACTTATTATGGAAAAGCAACAATAATTTGAAAAAATGGTAGAAGTCATAGCTATTTCGGAAATCACCACATTTCCACATCAGACTTCTTTCAGTAGGATTCGAACCGACGATCCCACTGATTCAGCCAATTGCCTCCGCACAGTGCTAAGTTCGCCTTGTTAATTCTTGTTGCTTTTTCCACTATTTCACTTGTTAAGCCAACTACAATCAAGCGCAGCTATTCCGTTGCAATTCACTTGATCATTTGATTTTTGGCTTTGTTGGTTTTTGTTAATTTTTCTGTTATTAGAATGTTTAACTTTGTGTGCTCGTCCTTAAGTTATTTGTTTTTTGTTATTTTATGGCCTTATAACAATTATATTCAACAACTTTTATTGAGCTTGAGGCCGTTTTTTAATGCAAACTTATTGTGGAACGGACTACAAGAGGTTCTTGGGAAAACTTTGTGCTGGAATCTATATATAATACGCGAAGGCATTTTTTGTTCAGTATAAAAGATCTGTACCGCTCGCCCGATTTTTAAAAATGAGATGTCAAATTGGCAAAGCGCTTGGTCTGTAGATGTGCAAACTGGATTTACTTTTATGAAAAGAGCTGCCACCTTTTAAAAAATTAAATTCAAATTATTTAAAAAGTAAATCAAGTATTACAAACTGGGTATTAATCGAAATGGTTTTGAAAAGCTTTGTTTCTTAGCTGAACTGTAGAAGGGTTGCTACCGGTTAATCATATTAGTTATTAGTTTACAAATTCACAAGTTATACGAAATATCAAAATATGGATGTCAAACGAAGGAGTCTTCAGAAATCTTTATTTGTGAATCGATTATCGATTCACAGCCACAAAATTATCACCAAATTCACTAACAATTTTGCTTTATCTCAAAGCAGGCTTGCTGCTGTAAAATTAAAGATGTATGAAAACTAAAATATATATATATAATATATATATATATATATATATATGTATATGTATACATGCGAATATCTGCGGTCTTATTGAATCACCATATAAAAGGAAATGCCAAAAAACAGGTGAACTCAGCTGTGGGAATTTTTTGACAATCAGCTGCTAGTGTTTTTACTTACGAGGCTGTACAATACTAAAGGAACACTATAAAAATAGTCAATATCATGCTTTCTTCAAAACATGTTTCTTTATCAGAAAATTTCTTAGTATGATTTATTAATACGGCTGTTAGTGCAGTATAGCAAAAGTGGAAGCGGCCACGAGGAAAATTCGTAAAACCACTTCCAGACTTCCCATAGCTAATTGGAATTGAAATAAAATCAACAAGTAGGAAGTCAGCTGAAAAGTACCAGCCTTTTCTCGTCACTTTTGCAAATAGTAATCTTAATTCCCGGTTTTTCAATAAGTAAATACAATTCAGTATTACAATAAAAATAATAAGAAATAATGAGACTTAATATTCGAGTTTACTTTACTCCAACTCCCACATTGCATAGAAAATTCCTGCTTTGTTGTTACAATTTTTTGGGCCACTAGAAAGTGAACACGAGCACGAATGCACAATAAAAGTTAAGACTCATCACGTGTAAAATAAGAAAATTGATTAATATTTAGAAATATCTACAATACATAAACCGGATTATTAAATTAAACTTTCAAACATTGTTCTGTTAAAATTTTTTCCAATGAAACGTGAGTTAATAACAGTAAATTTTTCAGCACCAAAGTGGGAATTCCAAGCGTATAGAACCTTAAGATATTCAAGATTGCAGAGATAAATCAAAAAAAGCAAATTACAAAACAAATATTCGGCAGACAAGTATGCCAAACAGGGAAAACAAGATGAGAAAGCAAAAATGGCAATAAAAAAAGTTGCGAAATCACGACAGGCAAACGGAAATATGTATGTACTTCCAAATATGTAGAGTTAAGCAGACGCTAAAGCGCATAGGCTAATATACTACTTAGTACAAGCAAAAATTTATTAATTCCCCAAAAATTTCAACGGAGCTGCAGCTGAGCGGCGATAAGTGACAGACAGAAGCGTGATTTTGTCGAGTGATAAGCGGCGGTTCTGGCATGTGATTGAATATTAATTTACTATGCCATTCTAACAGCTGATTTTAGCAGAGAAAAGTAACTTCTATTCCTAAGTATGTGGAAAAGGCAAAGAATCAAAGCAGAAAACGTGCAAAAACCACAGCACCGCTTCAGTTAATTGAAAAGAGTTGAAAAAAAAACGCCATATCAGCACAACCGCAACATAACTGGTTAAACAATTTTATTTATGTATATTTACATATATGTACGTTTATAAAAACATGAATACGCGCTCATAAAAATAAAATATTACCCAGAAGCGGCATTGTCTCGCTCATTACTTGTCGATGAATTTTTAATCGATTATTTTGCTTCGGTTTTGGGAAACCCGCAAATAAATATTTCGAACTTGTATGGCAGACAATAAATTTGGCCAAGAGCTATGAGCATGTCTGTATATTTACATATATGTGTGTGTGTGTAAATTATACATAATTTTTTTCAACACGATTATAAAAACACCCACCAAACAATTTTTGTTGCGGGCTATAAGAAAACGTCTGGCCCTCGGAAACAAATTTATTGCCGGTAATATTGCCATCGTATCGATTTCCTATTGCCTATCGCTCTAAAACGTCCGCCGAAGACAACTCGCCTGAGCGAGTCGTTTTCTTATTACCTGAATGAGTCGTTTTCTTATCGCTTCAGGCGATATTTGGAATAATTTTATATTTGTAATAAATACTTTAATTATTTTTTTGTGTACAACATTGGAACTTAGAAACGGAAATAATTCTATTTTTCGCTATGGCGCTTCCTATTTTTTCAATCCTGTCCTTGGTAAAAATTAGACGATTTTGGAGAATATAGTTGACGCGAAATTTATAAGTTTGGGAATTTTTTATAACTTATTTATTCCAAAGTTGACATGAAAGAAAATGATGTTGCCGATTTGTCACCACAGCAATAAATCGGTGAGTCGCCAATTTGTTGCCATTGACGATTGTTGCCATGAGAAATATATTTTGCATGGTGGGCACTCTAAACTTTTTCACTTGACAACACAGACAAGCATCCGAACAATACACACATACCAAATATGGGCAGGGGAACATTAGTTGAGGTCGAAAAGAAAATTAAAAAAAAAATATCAAATGATACAGCGAACACCTTTCAAAGAGTTCATTCGCTATAATTTTGTCTAATTTTATTTTTTTTTATGCAAAAACATTAGATAATTCATCGTAAGAACTAGCCAGGGTTAGCGCTGATAATAGCATCAAGTATGTCCGGGAATGCTACACATGTTGCATGAATGTCGTGAAATGAAATGAAATGAAAATAAAAATAAAAATAATAATAATAATAAATGAAAATAAAAATAGACAAAATTATGGAATTTTTAATTAGTAACACTTTGTGTTAGGTAATCGAAGAATATTTTTTTGGTCAAGACGATACAGTACTTGAAAGTTTCGAGTTGAAACTAAGCAAACTTTTATGTCGACGAAATCCTCTCTAAGTAAGCTTTAAAACAGCATGGATTATTACAATTTTTTCGTTTTACCCCAGCCTAGTGTACACCTACTAAAAAAATATTGAGCTTCATTAAAAATTATTGAAAAATATATATCATAAAACGAAGCCCCCAGATTGAGGTGAAGACACACTATTTTTTCTTATGATTCCAGAGTGCAAAAAAAAATTTTACATAAGTAAATTCATACATACTTACATACATGCATGGATACATTTTAGATGGAATTTTTATTCGGAAACTTTTGCTGATATCCAAAATTTCGGACTTTTAGTAATTTCATTGCCAAATTGCATAGATACATTTTTCATTATTCTGAAAGTAGAGAATATATAGAAAGATTTTATTAAAAACTTTAAAACAAAAACTGAATTTCGATCAAATTGTATATAGGTAAGTGGATATATCTATGTTCATAAGCAAAAAGCGGGAGCGAAAATATGTAAACAATGTAGCTAGGGAGATTATTACCTAAATCGACTTTAGTGCATATTCCTTTTGACTACAAAAATACTTTTTATAAATAAATTTAAAAGTGCCAAAAAAGTATGCGTGTTTCGTAAAGTGCTACTCTCAAAATACGGAAAACACCCTGTAACGTGTAATATTGTTTTTTTTTTTATATTTTATATTCCATTGAAAGAACTCGACTGATTCCACAAGTAAAGTGTCCATTCCTAGTTGATAAGAAAAAAAATTTATTGCGGTCCAGCCTAATGTATAAAGGAATGTAAATATGAACCTATTCGATCATAGATGACATGCAAGCAAACATACATCCACATGAATTACGAAACTATCTGAATGATTGCTTTTGTGTTTTGCTAACTAAAAATACATATTTTTTGGACTTAATGTAGAAAAAATACAAATTTTTACCGGTATTTTGACGTAAATGGTCAACAAATAAAAAAAAGCATACATATATCAATATATCATTTGATAAAATCAGGAATGTTGAATAGTAACTTTTTTGCAACACATGGAAACAAAAACCGAATAACATGAAAATAAAAAAAAAATATTAGCAAATAAATTTAAAAAAAAGAAATTTACATATCGATAGTACTCTGTAATAATGACACAACTCAAAACTAAAAAACAAATAACTTACTACTGTCTATAATCCTTGTCAAATCCATATTAAACGTTTGTGACAGCTTTTTCAAGATTTAGTAAGGCTTAGACAAGGATTAGAGACATGTGCCACTGTTCAGTAGCAAGCGTTTTTTTTTGTTGTTTTTTTTTGTGGCTTAAGTTGCGTCGTTATTGCTGAGGACGATTGACATGTGCCTATGTATGTATGTATGCATGTAATATAATTATGAAAATGAAACCAAATAAATTAGGGGAGGTCATGCATGCTAATATAGGATGATCTGGGTATTTCTCGTTTTAATTAACGCAAAAAAATGGGTAGGTTTTGAGGTTTTGCTCAAGGTCATTTGTTGTTCGAGATCAATAGGCATTAGTTATATCCGGAATGGAATTTGCGTTGGTTAGTACAACAACGTACATCGTTTGAGTCTTATTTTCAATACTTATTTTGATACAAATACTCGTAGCAATAGCAATGGCAATCAAGTTTACGATAATTCTATTTACAAAATATTGCCCAAAATATTATCCAAATTCACTGGTCTTCCAGATCTTGATGAAACCTAATGAACTAATGAATGAAATGTCGGCACAAATAAAAAAATCAAAATCGATACAAAATAATGATTATTTAATGATTCTTATTTTTTTTTTTTGTTCAAAGATAATAATTGCACTGGATCACAAATTTTTGTTTGGTTTTTGTTTTCCAGAGTTAATTTTTTTTTTTCTATGGATACGTTTTCGAAATATTTGCAATTTACTGTTATTCAGCTTAAAAAAATTATGGTTCCACTTAATCGCGTATATCTTACGAACCAATTGAATAATCGTAATACAAAGTATGGCAAAAGCCAATGAAATTCTCTATAATTCGTATATACATCACTTTTCGATAGGCATGATAATTTTTGAGAAATTAATTGATAACTCCACTTTTTTTTTTTTGAGGAAAAAATAAAAAAATTCAAACTTTAAGAGGGAAAAATTAAAAAAAAAGAATTTTTTTTTTTTTTTTTTTTTGTTATTTTTCCGTTAATTATTTTCATAGAAACTATCAAACTTATCGAAAAGTGTCACTTTTAAAATTCTTGACGTTTCCAAACAATTTAATTTTTAAATTTACTCACAAACTCACACACACATTTTCATTTTCAATCTCAAGCAACAACAATTTCGAACAATTTCAATTTTTTATTTTCACTTTTATATGATTTTAAAATGTTGGCAAACTTCAAAAAAAAAAAATCATGGATTGAGAGAACGGTTCTACCTTGCTATGTTTTTATCATGATGTATACAAAGTTTATGGAGAATTTCTTTAGCTTTCATTTGCCGTATTTCGTATTACAACTATTCAATGCGTTCATAAGATATACATACGAGATTAAGTGGAATCACCATTTTTTAAGCTGAATGACGGTATCCATAGAAAAAAAATGTTAACTAACATATCTACATATGCACTGGATAGTGGCATCCATAGAACATGTTTGCTGTAAATCAGTGTTATTAGTGAGTTTTCTTTTTTCACTTAAGAATAATGATTATTCAAAAAATTCAAAAGCAAAATCACGGCGATTTTCGACGCATCCCTTTCAGAGGTGTCGCTTACCTTAATAAAAGGTAAATTTTTATGTCGTCTACATTTTTTGTGCACCAAAAAATTATGATCCCAGTTCTGAACAAACGCCTTCGTCTTTTTTAAGAGTAGAACTCCATAATGCCCAAAAGGCGCTTGGTGGGGAGTTCTGTTCTTTTATGTATGTGTTATGAAGCACTTAAGTTTGACATTTTGAATCCTTTTGGATGGTAACAAACAAAGACTACCTCAAAACGTTAACTCATTTCAAAAATATGGTTTTTAGTCGACAACGGGAACTGATTGTTGATTATGTTGCGCAATAGGTGATGAAATGTGGTGTATTGAAAATCAAGATCTACTTCATGTACAAATTATATCATGCGAAAAATCCGATTGGTTTCTTGTTGAAAGTTCGCGAGTTGTTTTTTTAGTGTTACTCCCTTCTCTCGGCAGAAAAAAATCAAACGGTAAAGCATTGACTTGCATTTATTTCAATCAATTTAGTCCCAAAAGCGAGTAAAATAAAAAGAAACTTGAACAATTTTGGCCTTAAAACGTTTACTTAGGCGTAAAAGTACCGAAATTACTCAGTTTTTTGTTGTCACTCGTTGTAACTTTGAGAAGTTTTCAAATAGAATGTTCATATTAGAGGCAATGCACGCTGCAATCAAATACAACACATCTGTGAAGTTTCAAGAGTTTACCACGAAATTAAAAAAAATTGCAGCATGCAGAATATCTGTCGCAGCGATTTTGTAATTTTTGAAATTTTACGATTTTTTTTTTTTAATTTTAAAAATGTAAGATACTTCAAAATATTAAAATTAAGCGATGAAAATACTTTTCTTGCCAAAACGAACGAATCTAGTGTAATAAAACTAGTGTGTCACCAAATGAAAAAAATTTACAATGAGCAAAATATGACTAAACTAAACTAAAATTGCATTGTTACATTTTTTTATTGGCAAACTCGAAATTCATTCTAAAATTCTTAAATTGTTATGTAATTACTTTTAGACAATACGAAATTTAAGTTAAGGCGTGCGAGTAAACTTGTTAGATGAGTGCATATGGTGCTATGGGGCGTATACGTTACATACCCAACTACGGGTATATGAGCACGAGTAGTTATTTTTACTTTTCTAATACCCATACCTTTTTTAAGTTTTTATTTAAATAAGATTTCACGATGGAATCCGGTTCTTTAAACAAAACTGAAGATAATGCATTTTCTAAGATAGGCGTAACACCATTTTCGTCCAAAAACATGTTTTAGAGTGGTAAAAAAAAATCCGAGCTAGGGTCCGGACACTTTCCAAAATTTTTCCTCTTGCCGAAAGAGGTGCTGGCACCAAACTTTACATTTCTAAGTATAAATTTAGACGATGCTCATGAAATGGTTATATTTTACTCTAAAGTATATTGTACATATATTAACCAAACAATTGCTTAAGCAACCTAAGATCATTTCAAATTTAAATTAGTTGAACAAATATTGACAGCTTTATTTATCAAGGCAGCCACTAGCTTTTTATAAAAGTCACCAATATTTTAGTCAGTTTGAAAGAGATTCAGTAGCGCATTTCAAAGTTGTTGAGCACCTTTTATTTGTTGCAGTAGAACACTGAAAGTTGGTATAGATATTAAAAATACCCAAAGTCAAAAATAAGAGTGTGCCCCATTTCCTACGCCGACATTTTTTCTCCCCATACAAAACTTGGACCACTCTAATATTAGATACATAGTAGAGCTCGGGCAATTCGGTTAATCGATTAACCGAATTATTCGAATCTGACTGAAGTCGACTACTGTTAATCGGTTAGCAATATTCGAGTAGTCGAAAGCTGTCGACTATTCGGATAACCGTTCACTTTAGATTATTCGGTTAACCGTTCATTTTCGGTTAATCGAATATTTTAAGTTCGAGTTTTTTTTTGCATTTACAGATACATATACATATATGAAAAGTCTTGTTACACTCGTAGTACATATATAAGATTGCATGTGCAAAATTAAGGCAGACTTTTTTTGCAAGAATGTGCGCTAATTATTGAAATGTTATTGCGAAATATTTTAGAGACAATGGCTAAAGCAATACCTACCTCTCATTTTCGCGATTTTTGTTATGCATTTTTGTTAAATAGTTGTTGTGAGGATGTGGAGGAGTTGTAGCACAAAACTGCACCACATATGGAACTTCCTTTTCGTCCTCTGTTTTTTCGAAAAAATCCCAAACCCAGCTCCTTTTGCGTCCGCTCATTTTTGTATCTGAATATACATACATATGTGTGCATGTACATATATATTTAAAAAATTTTTTTTTCATTTGTCAAAGAAATTTCAATGAGAGTTCGGTTACTGAAATTCGATTTGCTACAATGCTCGAGTAGTCGAAGCAAAGCAACTATTCGAATAATCGAAGGCGGGCGACTACTCGAATACCATTAACCGACTAATAAGCATGCGAAAGGTTACGAATCGAATGATCGGTTAACCGATTAGTCGAATAGTCGGATAATTTTACGAGCCCTAATACATAGCACAGCGATGGCAGTGCGCGCGAGTGACGAAAACAGCCACAGTTTGCAAAATAACTCTGCGACAATTACACGCATTTTTGATGCAATTTCAA